CGGGTTGCGCTTCGAGCGTCGGAGGACAAAGTCCGTCGTCATCGGCACTCTGCCGAGCATCTTCCCGAGATCGCCTACCGCTGTGCAGAAGACCTCGAGAGCCTGGAGCAATTTGTGCACCGTCTGCCTCACGTTAGGAATTATTGCGCTCTGTCGGAGCGGATACTAGCCGTCGAGCAGACAAATACGTCCCTTCGTGCGACGGTGGAGCGCCTTGCGCCGTTGGAAACAGAAATTGTTACACTCCGTGCTCAGAACCGGTTGCTGCTTCAACTTCGGGCGGGCGCCTTTGAGCGCGGCCCCGGCGCCAACGCTTCCACATTAACTTGTGCTGGGTATCGGTATGGCTTAAGCAAGCTCATATAAAGCTTCGGTTTGATGCGAATCCATCTTCGAAGGTTCAGCATATACTCAAGGCTTCGCTTGACCACAACCTTAAAAGGTCCAATAAAGTCGTAGATTTGTATTAAAGACAGCAGAAACGGCATATGTAGGAAGGTTTTCAGCATTTATTAGGACCGGGTCTCTGACCTCAAAGTTTTCCACAACTTTTCTGCTTCTTCCATCTGCGTATTCTTTCTGCATGTCTTGGCCTTCAGCCATCGAATCGCGAACGTCTCCAGTTGGTAGACAGACAGTCATCGACTCCTTTACGGACAGTGAGGGGGCTTATATCAGCTAGCCACTCGACTATTACTCCCTTACCAAGCTCTGAGCCATGGGATGGCAGCGTCAGTGGGACGCGAGTATTAAAAGGCCCGTTCACGAAAATCGGCGTGTAGCCGTTAGATGAATGCACTGAATTGTTCAGAGCAAACTTTACGAGTGACAACATAGCGCTCCAGCGCTTCGACATCTCAGCGCAGACGCTGCGGAGAACGTCCTCAACGACGCAATTCGCGCGCTCAGTCTGACCATCGGTCTGCGGATGATCCGCTGTTGAGAAAGTCAGCTCTGTGTCTAGCGCTATGAAGATTGTAAATCAAAACTTCCCAGTAAAGTGCGGGTCTGGATCAGAAACAATTGACTCCGGGAGTCCATGTTGTCGAATGACACGTTCGACAAACAGTGTCGCTGTACCTCACCTTCGATGGTGTCCGGCACCGCTGCAAGATGAGCAATCTTGCTCAAATGGTCTACAAAGATCACCGCACCCGTGTTGCCCGCCGAGTCCGTCAGCAGGCCAAACACAAAGTCCATACTCATGGACTGCCAACACCCGGAGGATGTCGATAAACTGGCCAGCGGCGCCGCCGCATTCGGAGAGGACATCACCCTCTGACACGTCCCACACGTGCGCACATATTCTGTCGTTCATTTATACAGCTTACGCCACCTGTAGTGGCAACACACTGATCTGTATGTCTTCTCACGACCGAGATAACCACTGAGTGGGGTTTGTGGGCCTTCATAGAAGATACGGTATTTTGAATCCTCATCGTGAAGAACCACTTCGTGACGTATCCGTTGAATCGGTGCTAAATCAAACTCTTTGCTCCCGAGAGCTCGTAACAGCGCTACATACATACTGTCGCTCGTGTATGCGGCACGGATCAAATACGTCACTGACGACGTCACCGTTGTGACATGAGCAGGCTGATAGTTCGCTCTGCGTGCCAACGCATCAGCCAAAGCATTCTGCTTTCCTGGCTTACACTTCACCTCGAAGTTAAAATCTGTCAAGAAGAAGAGCCAACTGGCTATCCTCTGCGATATGTGAAGCGACTGAGTCGCAGTGCGTAGTGACTCATGATCTGTGTAGATCACAAACGGCTTTGAGCCAGGCAGGTACACCCTGAGCTTGACAAGTGTATACTTCATCGCAATTATTTTTTTTTCGTTGTTCCTCCCCGCAGCCTTAGGCTGGCGAGAATTGAACGCGATCACCCAATATCATCCCTCGACGTCTACTTGAAGCAGTGCACAGCCGATGGCAAAGTCCGAAGCCACTAAAAGAATGGTCAGGATCAGGCCACACCAGTATTGGTGCATGAAGGAGGCTGTATTCGACCCTGTCAAGAGCCCCCCGATGCTTGGTGTCTTAACACTATTCCGTTTCCTTCTTCAGGAGATTCGACAATGGCCGTGGCATTTTACGCATAATTAGCGCTTTCGGTTCCTTGAAACCGGATAGTCCACAGTGGACGTGGCCTTAGCAGGATCCGCTCGAAAGTCACGCTTCTCAATTAAGCACCCTAAAAAGGATTGTTTTCCGCGCCAAGATGCTTTTACCGGCAAGCATACAGCTTATTCGTGCGCATGCACTCGAGCACCGCTCCCACTAGACGATGTATTTTTCCTCATCTGTCCTCCCGTGCCCCACACGACTGCGGACGAAGATGTCATCGAAGTATGTTTGTGCATAAGCTTGGTGGGGTCTGAACAACTGCGTCACAAGACGATTAAATGTTGCTGGTATATTTGACAGCCCTTGAGGCATCACCAGCCACTACCAGAGCACCCCGTTCGGAGGTCTCACCGTTGTCAGCGAATATCACTCGCTCTGATGAGCAATTGGTAATAACCATTGACCAAGTCGAGTGCGCTGTACTTTGTACAGTTCACCATATTACTCTGGAAGATATCCTTTTTCGGAATTAGTGTCTGTGCTGGAATTGGTAAAAACGTTAAGCTTATTGTGAGCGTGAACGATACAGCACTTGCCGTTCGGTTTCCGGACACAAAACGTGGGTGTCGATTGGGGAGACTTGCTATCACGCACCATACTTGCGTCGTACTTCGAACGGATAATGGCGTAAATGACGTCACACTGCTCTTTGAGCAAGGTTACGCAGTATTTGGTTCTCGGAACCAGGTCAATCATATGACGTACATCTTGGTTCGGAGGTAGGACCAACGGCGGATCATCTCAGACGACGTCTTATTTTTTTTACTAAACGATAGCTCGAATCCGAGGGATCCTTCAGGATCGATGATCCACTTTGTGAGCTTAGCACCCTCTTAGTGTCCTCCAGGACAGCATTATCCAGAAGCTACGACGATTAATCTCTATGATCGATCGTATAATGACCAATTCGACTAAACTACCGCTTTAAAGGCACCGCTAAACTTTTTGAAGGACATCTCGTCCAGCTCAAGAAGAGCATTCACCGTGGGGATAGCCTCGAGGGTGACGTCGCCGTCTTCCTCTCCTTTTATACCGTTGACATGGGTATATATAGCTGTGCACTATCGTCTACGGTCGACACACTATGGGTTAGGGTCGACTCCCGCGTTTGCAGATATCATACGGCCTCGCCGTCTCCTATCAACAGAAGTTTTACGTCTCATCGAGACCAGTGGGAACACGCACTCGGTATCGCCCAATGTTCCTATCCCTGCTCCATCGGAGCCTTGATGCTAAAACAACATCCGACGAAGAGCTGCTATTTACGCAGTCTGCGTCCGGTGTATCACGTACCACTCCACGTGCATCAGAAGGTCCCTCCCCATGATGCGTCGAACCTCGTCCTACCATACGGCTCTTAGCATGCAGCAACTGCTTCGAAACTTAAGCATTGCTCACTGAATTACCTGCCACTCCACGCGCATCACAAGGGCCCCGCCCTTGATACCTCGGACCTCGTCCGACCATGAAATTCTTGGCATGCAGCAACTGCTTCGAAACGTGAGCAGTGTTCAGTTGAATAAGTGCCACTCCACGCGCATCACTAGGGCCTCGCCCTCGATCCCTCGGTCCCTGGCCAACCATGCCACTCTTAATTTGCAGCATTCGCTCCAATACTTGGGCAGCGCTCAGTGGATTACGTGCCACCCCACCTTCAGCCCACAAGCTATGCCCGGGACTCCTGTCCGAAACACCTTTGATGTTTAACAGCTCAAATACTTCGATATTTAGTACATTGACAATCCCGGTCCAGTGCCCGCTCCCATAGCGCTTCTGCTTCTTGGGTTTATGACCCACCATTGCCCCACCAAAAGACGTGTGTGTAGCGCCAAAGATCTTCGACCTCCAATCAGTCTATTGCTCATGACGTTCCAACCATGCCACACCAAGAAAAAGGTTATACGTTGCATCCAAGTCTAAGTTTAAGCATTGTTTTCACCCTATCACAGCGATGTCACACAGGAACTTCGGCACATTGACACAGATTCTCAATATAGCAGGCTTTAAAATAAGAGAAAAGTCTACCTGCGTGCTTTGTAGAATCGGCATCTTAAGCTATTTAATTCTCAAACCTTTCATCAACGCAATACCCGTTGCGTCTGATCAGTACGCCGTACCACCAGCTGGGTAGACGTATGTGCGCTTAGACAGGACGATTTGTTCATCAATGCGCATTGTTCCCATCGTGACATGTGACAATTCAGAGTTGGGAGACAAGGAATCGCATCCCTTTACATAATAAAAATAACTAAGATTACTGAATCAAAGAACTGACCGGCTCTGAAAAAGTTAATTATATAGTAATCTTGAAAATTATCTCAAAACTTTGCTGAGAAGGTATTGGAAAAAATGGGCTTTCGTATACCACATGAAGCCGGACCGTATCTCGAAGGTATACTTGGCGAAGAAGACTAAACCTTTCCGCCACTTGCGACGATGTCGCCACGTGCGCGATGCGTGGTGTTTGTTGATCTCAGACTGGTTAGTACGAAACAGAATTTATCTTGTCAAGAACAGGGTAGTTGTTATTTGCCGCTTTACGCTTGCGAAACTCAAATATACTCGCATGATCGCTTAATCGCGCGTTCATGATCATTGGCATTTATTTGGAATAAAGGACAGCCTATTGCAAAGACTGAAGTCTCACAGACGACATAAATTGGCCGATATGTCATGTGGCAGGCACGCGGCTTTCATGAATAGCCGTAAGATCACCCCTTTTTCCGTACTCCATTATCATTTGTCATTCCTGAGGAGATTGGTTGGGGTGTGCCATGTCGGCATAATTTGCACTTTTATCTGTAATCGGTTAGGATATGAAGCTCTTTGGGTACTATGGAATATAACCACCATCCAATCTACGACGGTCCTTATCTTCAACATACAATTTAGCAAGCACTTCAAATTCAAGCATCCCAAAGGCTGCAATGAATTACTAGTCTAGTTTTGCAAACAGATTGCTTTGGCACATACGGTCAAGCACTTCTTGCAATTGCTTAATGCTGTTCTTTACATCGGGCCATCCGTACTCGAAATGACTACGGATAAGTATACCGTCTAGAAGGTATTTGAATTGATACTGCGCAGCATTGGAAGCAGCGTCATCGGATGATTGAATGTCGCTTCTTTATTGAAAATTCCCGTTCCGTGATCAACCATGGTAGAGCGCTCGCTTCGCATGCGGGAGGTAGGGGGATCGATACCCCCAGTGTCCACTTGTTATAACAGCTACTGCCAAATAATCTCGCTCGTAGTACAAATTTAGGGAGGTATGCTCTTTATCACAGGCAGTTAGTAATAATTATCACCAGAATCGAATTTACCAAACAAGAAGGAATCAATCATGTCACATATCCAGGGTCGGTGTTTGTGTTGAATGGTGTCTACGTGTAGCTTATCATAAGCATACACAACTTAGCATGTACCGTCAGCTTCCCGACACAGAGAGTTGGCGCTGGGTGGAAACATCTTCTTGGCTAAAAAGAACCATTTATAACGTCACACTGTTCCCTTGGTTGAATCAATTGCCTTGTAACGCAGTATTTGACTCTAGGACCAATTTCAATCCATGACATACTCCGTGCAACACGCGCGGTGGATTTTTTCATATCCCTTCAGCGATGGATAAATAATCAAATTTCCGATGCTTGCTGTTGTGCTGAGCTAATTATCGTTTGTTCGGCTGATATAAATGCTATAATCATCCTCCGAAAAGATTCCACAAGCAACAACCTATACGGTCTTCAATAGCTGTAGATGACGAAGTCAGTCCCAACTTTATAGTTGCCTAGTTTATGTTTTGGAACACTTACTTCTTAACAATTACCTTCCTGTAGCATTATCAACGAATGCAACAAGGCAAAAGTCAATGAAGCGCAAATGTTACTGGCTAGCAGTCGTACTGGAATTTAACTCACGCTACATACATTTCTGCAAAAAACAGAATTTTGAACCAGAACTTTGACCTCTTCAGCTCGATATCCTTGAAGCTTGTTGCAACGCTACCGTAAATGAGAGTGTCTTGTCCTTCTTTAATGGCTACCGCTTTTTGTCGGCAAGACTCAGACACCTTTAATATGTCGTAGATATCTGCCTGTACGATGATACATTCTAACCACACACAATGTTGATGGTGATCAGATTGCACCTTGTCTAGAAATTTAAGCTACCGGAACCCACACGCTAGGATTAAGCTAACTCTAGCGCGAGCCATCTGACCCATTTTGGGACCGGTTTCTGAGCCCTTCAAAATACTATCATGCTTTTTCCGTCAACCCAACAATCACACACCCAATTGGGTGGCAGGGGGTGACAACACAGGTGTGTTTGCTCATCCACTTTAGTGACCTATCTTTGGCGTCCCGGTCCCAGGCCAAGCTATAAACCACTTGAGCCAGGCTATTTTTAAGCCGTCATGGACATAATATTGAACACTGTGAATGACAGCATGGAATCATGTAAAAATTGATCTGTTGTATGTTTTTTTGCTTTTCAAAATTTCTTTTCTTGCCAGTACTTATCGTTCTGTTCACTTCTACTTGCTCAAGGTTCGGTTGCGCTTCATGGATACAAAATCCGTACTCTCGCCTATTTGCTTCTTCTTCTTCTTGTTCGCACGTTTCTTCTTCGACTTCTTAGTTTTCTTTTCATCTTCTCCCCCAGCGTTATCTACATAAAATAGACTATTAGCATCAGTAATTACTTCCGTTACTGCATTAGCGGGCAACGACGACTTTGCTCGAGATTTCGGTTTGTTCAGATTGTCTCTAGCTATTTCATCTAGAAATTTAGCGTAGCTCTGTACAGATGACAACCACACATCGGTGTTTAATGAGTCAAACATAAAAGCAAATTGACAACAACAAACCTCTTGAATAAGTAGAAGCTCTTCTGTCGTCACTTCAATCGAGTTCAAGAGAATATTTATCATTTTCTTCTGACCAGCACAAATCTTCCAAAGCCTTTGTGTAGCTTTCTCAAGCGAAGACATTGGCTTCGAAACCTGTTCATGATCAAGCCAAAGTTCAAAACTTGCAGGCAACGGAACGCCAGCAAGATGAGCCATAGATGTTGTGATAGCTGAATAACTTGACTTGGATTCAACACGCATGAAATGCGACGCGTGGCGCAGACACACAACAGCGTAAAATAAAGCACGATCCTGCTCGGCAATATTTTTTTCGTCCTTCGCTTGATGAAACAATGTAACATTGGCGAATGCGCGTGAGTAAACTTGACCAAGACAATCAAGCAGAGCATGTCGATCTTCTTCGTCAAGAGTTTCATCTCCATCTTTATCGTGACAGGTCGATGGCTTTGCCAAAGTATGCAAAAAGCTTAAAACCCAAACGAGCCATTGTCCGTTCTGAGATAATTTGCGCTCACGCATTTGAGCGGTAAACAGCACTTGCCGAGTCGTCACCTGTGCCTGTGAAACAACACTCTGCAAACTTTGCTTCGAAATCTCTTGTTTATCCTCTTCGGAAGATTCATTCGACGTTTCTTCATCACTTTCGTTGCTAATAGGGTAGTAGATCGCTAGCGCGAGAAGCGCGCCATAAATTTTAGCTACTTCTTCATGATAAACAACCTGTTTCAGTTCATTAATCTCTTTAGGACGGTAAAACATTGTCCACGGAGCCTTTAAACCGTCAGAAGGAATACTCGCGCCTTGCTGCACAGTGCAATCCTGAGCTATGGCCACAACGTCCTGCACGACGATACGCTCTAGTAGAGTGCGAAGTTGTTTCACCGGTTCAAAATCTGCATCCTTGCTGCGACACCATTTTTTTGAAAGCGTTTCAAACTGTTCTTGCACACGAGCTGCCAGGATTCTTAGTACAAGCCCTCGCTTGTGCTCCTGCTCTTCTAGTGACTCGTATCTTCGTGCAGCAATAATTGCAAAAAGTTGTGCAAGCTCCTCAATAGTACAATTTTGAGTGTCAGTTGGATGACGGGCGATATCTATACCCGCATCCAGCGCCAGCACGCCAGCAAGTTTGCGCTGCTTATCAATAGAAGGAGCGATGGCTGATTGCGTCAGCTCCAATTCCGTGTCTATTTCGTTTAGTGGTATGCGAGATGATGAGATCTCATCACTATGCTGCTCTTGTATGAAAGAGGCGTGTAAGTCGCGTAGCAGCTTTGCGAGCTGCGTTCCTAGCGGCGTCAAATTACGCGATAAATGCGCCTTGAGCTTCCTGCTTGGAAGCTTAGCCACTGCTTCTTCTAATATCGCATGAAGAACAGTACTATCTTCCCAAAACTTTTCGTGCTCGGGTGTCTGAGTCCACTGTTGAAATACAACACGCGAGAACTGGGTTAGGAAGTGCGTCGCCTTGGCCTCCATTGTTGTTAGAGAACCAGCAAATGACTTTGGTGATTGTGATTGGCTGCTAGAATTACTTTGATTGCCTTAATTTACTGTAATATCATACAATTGTACATTCTTTCAAACATTAGAGCATCAGATTCATTCAGACACAAATTCACAAACGCGCTATAGACATTGTAAAGGTGAATTTGTTTTACCAACTATTTTGTAGTTAAGGAGTATTTTCCGATATCTGACTCAAGATACTGTCAAATGATGTGAAGACAGTAGAAAAATAATGTTCTAGGTGGCGACGCGGTCAATTGGGGCGAAGAATGACTATGGCGTGGTGGATTTCGAATGTGCACATGATTTTTTAAGCTTGTGATTCGGACCATGATAGCCCGAAATTCTTCAGGTCGATGCCTTTTCAGAACTCTAAACGCTCGCTTTTGAAGACTACAGCTCTATCAATCGAAAAGCCTTTGGTAAAAGTGTCACCATCTTTCACAGCGAATGCCTCACTTGGTAGTTGAACCTTGGAAAGGTGTCTATGATACAGATGGATACAATGTTTACAGGTCATACTCACATGGGTGGAGACATAAATAACAAGACTGGACAAACAAGTGAAAGTAAACGGTTACTGCATTTGTATTGATACGCTCAGTAATGACGAGACTTTCATAAAGCTATTGTGTTACTAGCTATTTTCTGGTAGATAAAATTTTTGAAAAATAATTTTGACTTTTAGCTCCGTCTAATACCGCTGGATTAAAAAACAATACCCTTCTTCATTGGGAATTTATAATCCCACGATTTACGGTCAACATTTGAGACAACACATACCACGCCTACTCCCTTAAGTTTTTCAATATCAGGAAAGCGCCTATATTAACGAGTTTCCTGTGGTCAACGCCGTATACGTTTGATTTTGGAAGGCAAGATGTAACCAGCATACTTCAAGTGACCAACCGAGTTCCACCTTACCACCTCCGCTGTACCATAAGGTTACACAGATTCACCGAATTTTCCTCCGATCAAGGTCTTTCCGGAGTTTGGATGAACATAGCGTTCACACACACCTCCTTTTTAACGCTCGCTATGAGGCGTATGATAAAGGCCGGTGTCATTACAAATCAATCAAACCGTGTTTAAAAAATTCTGCTGTCCTGTCCAACAATTCAAGAAAAGCAGCAATCCGCAACGGCGGCGTCAGTCGGTACCCGCTTTTTGAAGACTGTATCACTGCATATGTAACGGAGATACACGAATCCTAATAACAGGGGTGTGTGCTACACGAGATGTGCATGGTGTGACCACACAACCAAACAAGAATACGGTACGGGGCTAGGTAGCCAGCAGTTATGTATGTATTAAGATTTTATTATATATATTTATTATATTTGGGAAAATTTATACATTTAACATTAGGATAGATAAATAAAAATCAGATTGGAATTTAAACCGAAGAGTTGATTAGCCTTGGGAAGGCAATAATTACTCATGGAGTAAGCGGACTGCGATCCGCTAACTCATACTTCGTTCTTGTAAAGAACGAAAGGTTGGTGACCTAAAGTACGCTTCCTCAAGCGTTTTGCTACGACAGCCCCGCTACACTTGGTAGCACTTGTAGTCAATCTACAGATTGATCATCTGTGAGGATGCAGGAATTTTCCTCTTGGCCCCAGGGCATGCAGGACGGGCTTAACAAGCTGATGTCCTTGCTTGGCCCTGAAAGCGTGCAACATCTTGTAGCACAAGATCCCGAGGCAATCAGTGCGCGTATAGAGACGTTTTCGAGTTCCGAAAACGCTCTGCTACAGCACCTGCAGCAGAAGATGTCTGCATCGTTTGCGTCTATGACGCCACCGCCGGTGACGGATGAATTTACCCGCTCTAAGCCGCTCATGATGAGCGTTAAGGTCTTTGAGGGGAAAGATGGAATGAGTCTCTTGCTCTGGGTAAGAGAGGTCGAGATCGCCAACGCATCTGCCATGCTCCAGACCGAGCAACAGCGCGTGGCTCTATCCATCTCAAAGCTCATGGTCGAGCGCGACAATGGGTACTGACGTGCGGCACTTCGGTCGGAGCTGCGTTTTCCTACTGGGCGGAGCTAAAATTGCAGCTCGCACGAGTGTTCTCGCCGCCAAATTAGGCGTATCGCGTGCGATCGCGTTTCCTTACCACCCGACAGGGCAACAGGGAATTGGTGGACTTTATCCAAGACTTGCGAACTCTCATTGCCG